CCAACCCTGCACCCACTTTACATGGTCCCTCCCCACCCTGCACCTGCCATACAGCCCCCACCACCCACCCTGACCCCCCACACACCTTGGAGAGGCGAAAATCCACCAGAATCTTGCTCTCCATCTCCACCAGGTTCACCTTGAAGATGAGTTTGTTGTTCCTCCTGTCTGTGGTTGAGATGGTGACCTGCAAAGGGGGGGAATGTCTCCAATGACTCCCTGATGGCCCAGCATAGGGGTCCCAGCCCCAGCTCCAGCCCCTGGTCCCCACCTGGTTGGTGCAGCTCATCTTCCAGCCGTAGCCCATCTTCTCACACACCTCCTTCAGCGCGCGGTAGGAGCCGTCGGCGTCCAGCTTGGTGAAGAACCGCGTCATCCGCTTCACCAGCCGCTGCCACGGGCTCTGCCGCCCCAAAAAACATCCCAGGGGTCAGCAACCCCGCCAAAAGGGTCCAAAATCCCACCAGGTTCCAGCCCCAGCTCTGACACAGCCTGGCTTTCGGTGAGGAAATGTTGGAAAGCTGCACCCCCTGATGGCACAAGGCAACAAGCGCATCCCAAAGAGCAGAAACGCTGCACAAGCAGGTCCCAAAGAGCAGAGGCACATCCCAGAGAGCATAGCCACATCCCAGAGAGCAGAAACCCTGCATAGCCACATCCCAAAGAGCAGAAACGCTGCACAAGCATGGCCCAAACAGCACAGCCACATCCCAGAGAGCACAGCCACATCCCAGAGAGCAGAAATGCTGCACAGCCACATCCCAGAGAGCACAGCCACATCCCAAAGAGCACAGCCACGTCCCAAAGAGCAGAGGCACATCCCAATGAGCAGAGGTACATCCCAAAGAGCAGAAACACAGCACAGCCACATCCCAAAGAGCACAAATGCTGCACAAGCATGTCCCAAACAGCAGAAGCACATCCCAAACAGCACAGTCACATCCCAAAGGGCAGAAACCCTGCACAGCCACATCCCAAAGAGCAGAAATCCTGCACAAGCACGTCCCAAACAGCAGAAGCACATCCCAAAGAGCAGAGGCACATCCCAAAGAGCAGAAACACAACACAGCCACATCCCAAAGAGCAGAAATCCTGCACAGCCACATCCCAAAGAGCAGAAACGCTGCACAAGCATGTCCCAAACAGCACAGCCACATCCCAAAGAGCACAGCCATGTCCCAAAGAGCAGAAACCCTGCACAGCCACATCCCAAACAGCACAAAGTCAGCCCCTGGTATCATAAAATGCTCTTTAAAGACACACATAGGATGCACAGTTGTGCCCCAATGGTATAAGAAGTGCAATGACGGACCCCAATATTGCAAACTGGATGTGAAGCTGCCTCCCAAATGCTGCAGAGCTGTACCCTGGAACTGGAAAGCTGCGTTTTATAACTCAAAATGCTGCAAAATCCTGCCCCAAATACCACCAGGTTGCACCCTGAGATGACAAACCTTGCCCAGCAGGACCTCAACGCTGCCAAGCTGCTCCCTGATAGTGTAAATCAGATGTGAAGCTGCTCCCCAAACACCACAGAGCACAAAGTGCACCCTGATGCCATAAATGATGCACATTTGTACCCCAAATCTTGGGAGGTGGCACCCCAAGATGATAAAACTCACAGCTGCATCCCAGCCTTGTCAAGCTGCTCCCTGACATTGCATATACAGCAAAGTTGCTCTTTAATGTGGTATTTATGATGCAAAGTTGCACCCCAATATTTTACACAGCACAATGTTGCACCCCAGTGTTGTAAATCAGATGTGAAACTGCCCAAGTCCCTGGCAAAGTGACAAAGTGACACTAAAAGCACTGCAAACTTGCACCCCAAATCCTTCACCTGACACCCTCAGGTGGTAAATATTCAACAGCCACAGCCCCAACAGTTGCTCCCTGATATGATAAACACAACAAAAGTTGCTTCTTAATCTTACATATCTAAGGCAAAGCTGCACCCCAGTAGTAGAAAAGGGGCAGCACTGGATCCTGATGTAAACTGGATGAGATCTGCCCCCCAAATGCTGCAGAGCTGCACCCCAAGGTGATGAACCTCCCCCAGGCACACCCCACACATTGCCAAGCTGCTCCCTGATGTTCTAAACACGGCAAAGCTGCTCCTCATGGATGCAAAGTTCCACCCCAGTTTATACAATGCAATGTTGGACCCCAGTGTTGTAAATCAGATGTGAAGCTGCCCCCAAATAC